CAGTTTGGCCATAGCAAGAAAAAAAAATATAGCAAACACCAAAAGGAAATGAAAGCTGTTAAAAGAAGAGTCAGATATGAAGCAATATATAAAGTGATACGTACACAACAGAATGGTACGTAGTCGTTAAATAAAGCACAAAACTGTGTGTACAGTGTTCTACCATTCACTGTTTTAAAAGAGTGAATAGATCGTAATATTTAACAAACACAAGAGAAAAAGTGCTCTCAGGGAAAGATTTTTTCACTTTATCATCTATTCAAAGAACATACTTTTTAAAGAAACTACAGAACAGAAAGAATTTCCAATGATAAAAGGCCTTGTACTCGACCAGCACGTTTAAACTGAATCTTTTTTGAGAGGCTTCTCTCCAGTGAATATTCAGAATACAGGAAAAGAGCTCATAGATGTCCTTTATTACAACCACATTAAGCCTAATTAATACTAAGGGGGTTAAATTGGCGTTTTTCAAGCAAAGGTACCAGATTTCTGGGTTCTGCAGGCTCTGGTGCTCAGAAGGAAGATCTTTTGGCTCTGAAATACTGTCCCCTTATAAGACTAATAAAACCTACAGGTAAGATTCTCTACAACGTGGTTAAGTTGTGTGGAGAGGAGACAGAGGAGGGCCTGTCAGCTTTAAATGGACGTCCTGTGTTAGTCCCACGAGTGCTTTCGTACATAAAAATATTTTAAGCTTTCAAATTATTTGGATTACGGCAGTTGTTTTGTAAATCTTCGGTGACTAAAACAGAAATAAAATAACAGTGGAGAAGAAAATAGCCCAGGTCTTCGAGACTGTCCACAAGCTACTTAACATGACTTCAGGGCAGAGCAATGAAACAGAAGTGGGTGCCTGTTCTGCCTTGGCTTTCTGATGTTAACAATTAAAAGCCTTGTCAATGCTAGAAAACCTTCTCACTGATGGGAGGGGTGTGAGGAGAGGAAAAGAAAGAGACGAGATACAGCAAAAATCAGCAAACATGTTATGAATAGGACTCCTTTTATTCTGTGCTTTGCTTTTATACAGAGAACTTTCAAGAACATTCATTCTAATAAATTATAGTAAGTTTCTTTCTGATTAAATTAAAAACCACAGAAGCGTCTGTTGTGGCCCAAGGAGAGTGACACAGAAACCAGCATCCCCGCAGAACGGCCACTCGCCTGGGGGCTGAATGCAGGGCACGTGGGGGGGGGGCGGCGTGGGAGGGGGCTGGCCACCTTCACTCCCTTCTCACCGCATCGCCGTTCTCCCCACCGGGCTTGAACACGGGAATCTGCTGACCATCCTTGAGCTCTAAGAAGACCTCTTGGAGATTCCACCTGAGAGAAACCAAAAATACAGTCTCTAATCAAGGAAACACTGAGGCCAAAAAAAAAAAAAAGGGTCAAAAAAGAGAAAAGCAGTGGTTTGGAATAATGTCATCTTAAATTTTGAAACACTGTTTTATGTTAGTGCTGTGAATAGAACATCTTACCCTTTTATTCCAGGCGCTCACTATTTAACTGGCATCATGAACAGGGCAAGTTTAACAGGGAAGGGCTGACATCAGGGAGGAGAAGGAGGAGCAGCTTATTCGCTTTTCCTAATTCCCCTCGACCTTCAGCTCCCGCTGGAGGCCCGCCAGCTCCTCTGCTAATCCCCGGGCTCAGGGGTCATCGAGTTAGGGGGGAGGCGGGCGGGGCTGCCGCTCCTTTTGTCCTCGGGAATTAAAACACATCCTGGCTAAATAGCAAACATCTCTGAGAGAGAGGCTTCCCGTGGGGGAAGTGAGTGAACGTAGCTACTGGCAACCAGACAAGGAAAAGCCAATTAATGGGGTGGAGAGCTTACATAAAGAATGCGATGAATAATTCTGGAACAGGAACCCCTGTCTTGTTCATCTTAAGAGGGAGGACAGGGACACAGCATCGAGTTACGGCAGACCTCGACCCCTGTGACTGGAAAGTCCTGCAAATTCAGTAGCGTAAGGAGAGGCCAACTCAGTAGGCTGCATGGGATAAAATGTCTGGCCGGAGCTAGAAGCCAAGGCACTGGCTTGCTGTCCAGCCCGTGAAACTTCTCAAGCTTTGAAAAACGAATTCTTACTACCTCAGTCCGATAACTACAATTGAAAATGGGAATCAAGATTGTTTCCAGCAGAAGGTTCTCCTCCCGTTCCCCGATTCCCACCCCCTTTCCCACAATACCTCTTAAAGGGGGCATCTCTGGATGAGTTGACATAGAGATGGCCCTCTGCCCTGGGTCCGGAGACAGGAATCTTCAACTGGGGGTGTAAAATGAGAGATCTGAGTGGGTATGATGTCCCCTCAAGAGATGCCCTACAAAATCCAGTGATTAGCCACAGAATTTGGTTGTTTGCTAACTTGAGCACAGTGAAGAATTCACCTGATTTTCCTTCTGGCTCCCTCCAAATTCCCTGCCCCACCTTGGATGGCTTGGTGAGGTCAATGGCAGTCCTTCTACTTGTCAAGGAGACCATCTGGGCCAAACTCAATGCTCCGAGTATTTGCAATGATTATTTTTAAAGCCATAGTTAAAAAAGAACTACTGATACATGCAACATCATGGTTAAAGGTCCAAAACATGTGGAGTGAAAGAGCCTTACCCAAGAGTACGTAATGCATGGCTCCACGTTTTGGAACAGGCCAAACAGGTTAGAAAAAAATATCGGAAAAGTGATTGCTGGGGCTGGAGGATGTGAGGGGACCAGCTGGGAAGAGCATGCTGGAACTCGCAGGTGACGAGAACAGAAAACACGTAGGTGGGGTCTTGAGTCACAGATGGATGCATTTATTAAAATTCATCAAATAGGACACTTAGATTTGTACCTTTCACAGAGTGTGACTTTTACCTCAAAAGAAAATGAACCATAAAAAATACTAAACTCTAGTAAAGGACATACTGCTTATGTATTTAAAGGTGAAGTGTATGGATGTGAAGAAGACAAGTTCATGGACAAAGACAGAGCTAGGTAAACAGGTACAGGATGAAGCAAACTGAGCCAAGTATTAGAGTCCAGGTGGCAGGTATATGGGTTCCACAGCATAAATTCTTTGATCTTTTTCTGTGGGTCTGAAACTTTTCATAATAAAGTAGGAAAGAAAAAAATAAAAGTCTACTGTTTAAAAGGGGGAACTGTTACCAGCAAACTGGTTCAGACTGTGACCTGGACCACAGAGCCCAGGCTTTACGGAAAGTGTGTGAAGGCCCGTGTGGGACGGACGGCAAGGAGTTCTTGGTGGTTTGTCATCGCCGCTCGCCACAGCTGGGCTCACACCGTGTCGGGATGCAGCCCGGATGCTGCACTGCCCTGAGTGGGGATGAGCCTGCGAGCCTCAGAGCGAGCTGGCAGGTGTTTGCTCAGGCCCCTACTTGGACAAATATCGAATGCAATGTTTTTGGTTTTTCAGTGAAAACTAAAGACTGACTGAGCCTTGTGAAGGGGCGAGATGTGGTAACCAGATCAGGGAACCCGCCCTCAGCAAAGGTGCCCACAGGGTTCCGAGCACCGAGGCCAGGCCCTGTACCCTGTGCTGGGAGACCCAGGGGACAGCAGGACCCATTTCTCATGCTTGGGAGGATCCAGCCAGGGGAAGCTGTAGCTGGGGAAACAAGGAACCACACCCTACGGCACGAGGGACATGGTGACATGCACACATGGCACCAGGCAGGCACTCACGTCCACCCCTGACTCACTCAGGGCCACTGCTGTCTCACCAACCACCCATGTCAGGCGTTATAGCATCGCCTCTGACCCACACCTGGTAGAAAACTGTCACCAAGTCCTATCACCTGGCCACAGTATCTGTCACCTGGCCACCACAGCAACCTTAGTGTCCATCTCTCATCTCTCTAGGCCACAGCTCTGGTTCACGCTCTCACCACGGCACCCCTGTGTGCCCACACTGCTCTCCTAAAGGTGGCTCCCTGCATCCAGTCCCTGGTCACTGCCAGTCTGCATGACTCCACCTTCTTTTAGAACCAGATCAGAGGGGGCTCAAGATGGCCAAATAGGAGGACATGGAGCTCACCTCCCCACCAAAAACACACGAAAAATACATGTACACATGGAACAATTCTCATGGAAAATTAACTGGAATCTGGCAGAAGAACTCCTATACAACCAGAGCTGCAGGCAAGCTCTCCATGTAACCAGGTAGGACAGAACAAAGGCATAGTGTCAGGACCTGTGCCCCTGGGAGGGACCTGAAAGGAAGGGAAGGTCCAGATGGGTGGACCCTCACTCACCCTGCAGGGTGAGCAGGTCAAGCCACACACTGGGCATCCTGTCCTGGGGTCCTACGCAGAGGGGACAGCCCCCTTGGCTGCTGGGAAAGACAGACAGGCTGGAGAAGCCTAGACTCTACTCACGAGGGTGTGCGCCTGCTGGCTTGTGGACAGGAGGCTGGAGAGACCCCTGCACTGGTGGCTGCCACTTCACCACGCTCCCCAGCACATATGAAACGAACAACCCCGCCCTGCTCACTCCACACCACAGCCTGGTGTGAGATCTGGGCTAACCTGGCCTCAGGAAAAGGGTCTGCA